TACATCAGACATTGTCGTTGTTACCGAAACGTGGCTTTCTTCAAATGTTCCTAATTCAGCAGTAGATTTATGCGGTTATTCCTTACTGAGGCATGATCGTTCCGGCGGCAGACGAGGAGGTGGAGTCTGTGTCTTTGTAAAGGACATGCTTCCGTTCATTCATCTTAAAGAAATTGAAAGTCACGAATATGAGTCGCTTTGGTTACTCTTAAAACCTCACCGCTTGCCTCGTGGTTTAAATTCAATTGTATTGGGAATCGTGTACCATCCACCTGGAAGTGACGATAAAGCCCTTCTTTCACACCTTACCGAATCAATCGATTCTGTCCTTTCCACCAATCCCGGTGCAGGAATTATTTTGGCCGGAGATTTTAACCAATTTAAACATCGCCAGTTATGCAGTTCCATTAACCTCAAGCAGTTAGTCAAAGACGCTACTAGAGGAAAGAATATTTTAGATAAAATATTTACCAACATTTCTAAATTTTATAATTCTGCCCTGGTAATTTCTCCAATATATTGGACATTCCGATCATAATTCCATTGTTCTTAAACCTCTTCCAGCTAACTCTTATGGTGGCACAAGGTCTACACGTTTAGTACGAGACTCTCGCCCAACCAATCATCGAATTGTTAGCGATCATCTGTCGAAAGTTAATTGGTTACCTTTGCACCATATGGAATCTTGTGACGAGCAGTTCCAGTATTTTTCCACCATCGTTGATAATATCATAAGCGAACATTTGCCTTGGAAACAAATCAAAATTGATTCTAGTGACAAGCCCTGGATTACTTCCGAAATAAAATCTCTCATTTCCAAGCGGCAGACAGCATGGGCGGTTGGCAATAACCTGATGTTCAGATTCTATCGAAACAAAGTCAATGCACTTTGCAAAAAGGCACGACTAAATTACTACAATAAAAGTATCGCGGGCGTTCAACAGTACGATTCTCGTAAATGGTGGTCAGCGGTGAAGAATATTGCCGGTCTTCAGTCTTCTAAGAATGTATCTACAATGATGTTCCAAGGTAAATCCTACTTTGATGCCGATTTAGCAAATTTGCTCAACGACAAGTTCGTTGCTGTAGGGTCCTCCTTACCCAATCTAAACTGGCTCCCCCTTCCCACAAATGACATTCCAGACGATTTCTGCATCTCTGTCGAGGAGACTGAAAAGGCCCTATTATCATCTAAACTTCATTCATCTGCCGGTCCCGATGAAATTCCTTCTTGGCTTCTCCGGGAAAACGCTTCAGTGTTGTGTCGACCTTTGTGTTCTATTTTTAATTCATCAGTTCGTGAAGGATTTGTTCCCTCAATATGGAAGGCAGCAAATATTACACCAGTTCAAAAATCTTCGCTTCCTAAAGATGTTGATTCTGACTTCAGACCAATCTCCCTCACACCAATTATCAGCAAGATTCTTGAATCCTTTCCCTACAAATGGCTACTTGACTCCGTCTCAAAAAAATTGATTCCTTGCAATTTGGTTCGCTGAAGGGTTCAAGCACTAGTATGGCATTAATCTACATGCTACATAAATGGTTTGAAGCAGCTGACAAACAAGGTAACACTATACGGATTTGTTTACTTGATTTTTCCAAGGCGTTTGATAGATTAGATCATAACATTCTGTTGGAAAAATTGAAAGACATGGAAATTCATCCCGGGTTACTCAACTGGATCGCAAACTTCCTAACAGGCAGACAACAAAGAACCCGTGTTGGTCAGTTCTTTTCTGAGTGGAAGTTTTTAAACGCCGGCGTCCCTCATTGAACGAAGCTTGGCCCGCTATTATTTTTGATCATGATAAATGACTTGGCTGTAGCGGATGAAACTGTTAAATTTGTCGATGATACTAGCCTTTGGGAAATAATATCAAACAATTCCCCTTCCCAGTTATCCGCTAACATCATCAGCTGCTCTGAATGGTCATCAGACAATAATATGAAGTTAAACGTATCAAAGACCAAAGAATTGCGTGTCTGCTTTTCTAAGCTTACTCCATCGTTTGCCCCTATTACCATTCGCGGTCAAGAGGTCGACGTCGTTTCCGAGGCCAAACTATTGGGCGTTGTCCTTTCGGACGACCTCAAATGGAACTGCCATATTGACTACATTTGCAAGAAAGCCGCGAAGCGTTTGTACGGTCTGCGCCTTCTTAAAAGAAATGCTTTACCTTCTCATATTCTGACCTCAACCTATTATACACATTCGACCAATTGTCGAATATGCTTGTCAGGTGTGGCATTATGGCCTTCCTCATTACCTGAGTGATCAAGTTGAAAAAATACAAAAAAGGGCATTAAAATTATTTTCCCTGGAACTATCTATGCTGAATGTTTGCAAGCGACTTTTTTCGAAGATGTTGGAACCCACTCATAAACTGAATGCCTTAGTACCGCCTAAAAGTCTTCAAAATTATAATCTGAGGTCTTATCCCAACTTATTAGTACCTAGGTGTAGAACTGAACGTTTTTCGAACAGTTTCATTCCTGCTGCGTCTCGTGCTTATAATAATAAGTAAACTTTAGATTATTATCGTTATTTTTATCTAACTTACCTATTTTTACCTGTAAATATAGAATAGATTAAATACCTATGTTCTTATACCCTGTAATTCCAAAGTAATTCAGTTGTTACTGCTAGTTTGGAAATTTATAATAATAATAATAATAATAACATACTTTGAGGTTACGTCTACTAATATAGATACTAACACTAAAACAGTTTTGGGCTTGTCATGGGACACAACTTCTGATGAGTTTGTTTTTCGTTTTGACAACTTGTTGAGTAAATGTTGTAGCATGACACTAACTAAAAGAAATATTTTAAGTGTGTCGGCTTCTATTTTTGATCCTCTAGGCATGCTTGCTCCGGTCACTGCAAAGCTTAAATCATTGTTTCAACTCCTTTGTAAGGACAAGTTGGATTGGGATGACGTAATCCCAAAGGAACTTGAAGAAATTTGGGAAAAAATCATAGGTGATTTAAAGTTACTTAAGGAAGTTAGGTGCGGTCGGTTTGTTCGTATTAGTAATTTTCATGCCGGTGTTCGTGTTGAGCTGCATGGTTTTAGTGACAGCTCCAAGGAAGTTTATTCTGCGGTTGTTTATCTTCGGCTCATTTATGCCGGTGCTGTTAAAATCAGTTTCTTAGCTTCTAAAACTAAGGTCGCTCCTTTAAAAGCCTTAACTATACCAAAATTGGAACTCTTAGGTTGTTTGTTGCTTAGTAAGTTGGTTAGCCAAATAGTCACAAGTATAGGAAGTCG